GGAATTGTGATACAGTGAATTATAAGTGAAATAATCTGTCTGTAAACAATTGTTGGAAAAATTACTTGTGTCATGCACAAAGTAGATGTCCTAACCGACTTGCCAAAACTATAGTTTGTTAACAAGAAATTTGTGGAGTGGTTGAAAAATGAGTTTTAATGACTCCAACCTAAGTGATATAACGTCTTTTGATGCAGTTTTGGTTAATGTCGATTGATCTCATATCGAGAGGACAAGGACACGCCACATGTTATTGATGTCACGGGTGAGTGAAAGAAGGTTGGCGTGCCAAAATAGATTGGGGGCCACTGTTGCTAATCTTAGAAGGAGTACGTGGTGTAATGGCCTGGCTAGGGTGCCACACGATACCATGTATGGGGATCCTATTGTAGTAGATGAGTGACACTCAATAATGGTTGGCAACTGTGGGATAGAAGTAGCTCGGAAGGCATTATATAAACTGAGACATTTTCTATGGAAGTCATTCAGATGACAAGAGGCTACGCACATACCGCTTGTCATTGAATCCAGTACCATTAAATAATGACTGAATCAACTCCCCATCTAAGTGGTCGACTACTCTCTTGCATCCTGAACTTCTCGATACCAGAAACTCATCATAACACTAAGTGTATGTAAACTTCCGACTTCAACTGTATATGTATATATATATATATAAGTCACATAATTAGTTAAATAAAGTCCACCTCTGTGCAATCTAAGTGTCACATGATCTGTCACATGATCTCAGTATATATACACCTGTTCTGAAAGGCCCCAGAGTCTGCAACACCACTAAGCAAGGGGCACCACCAAGCAAGCGGCACCATGAAGACCAAGGAGCTCTCCAAACAGGTCAGGGACAAAGTTGTGGAGAAGTACAGATCAGGCTTGGGTTATAAAAAAATATCTGAAACTTTGAACATCCCACGGAGCACCATTAAATCCATTATTGTCTGGGCGGCAGGTAGCTTAGTGGTTAAGAGCGTTGTGCCAGTAACCGAAAGGTCGCTGGTTCTAATCCCTGAGCCGACTAGGTGAAAAATCTGTCTGTGCCCTTGAGAAAGGCACTTAACCCTAATTGTTCCTGTAAGTCGCTCTGGATAAGAGCATCTGCTAAATGACAAAAAATATATATATATATATATATAAAAAAATTGAAAGAATATGGCACCACAACAAACCTGCCAAGAGAGGGCAGCACACCAAAACTCACGGACTAGGCAAGGAGGGCATTAATCAGAGAGGCAACAAAGAGACCAAAGATAACCCTGAAGGAGCTGCAAAGCTCCACAGCGGAGATTGGAGTATCTGTCCATAAAAAATAAGCAAACCCATCCAACTTGAAGGAGCTGGAGCAGTTTTGCCTTGAAGAATGGGCAAAAATCCCAGTGGCTAGATGTGCAAAGCTTATAGAGACTTGCAGCTGTAATTGCTCAAGTTTTCAGTTTTTTTGAATTATTTCTTGTTTGTTTCACAATAAAAAATATTTTGCTTCTTCAAAGTGGTAGGCATGTTGTGTAAATCAAATGATACAAACCCCCCAAAAATCCATATTAATTCCAAATAGGAAAAATGCCAAGGGGGTTGAATACTTTCGCAAGCCACTGTACATACATATAAATACATATACATACATATATATATATATATATATCTATATATATATATGTATATATACATATCCTTTAAAAATATATATTTCCCTTTATTACTTTCCAACCCCACCACCCCTCCCCTAATTGGAGTAAACTAGTGAACAACAATGCTTAGGCCTCTACTTCCAGCTTATGCATTTTATGGACACAGTCAATTTTACAATAGTTATATTTTGTTTGTTTTTACTTCTGAACTTCCTCTACCCTCAACTTTGCCGATCATTTTCATGATGTCCATCCAGTTTGCTTCTATCTGCCATATCTTTCAAACTGTCTTAGAGTGATGGACTGTGCCGTCCCCGTGGCCTCCGATTAGTCCACTGAGACAGGAGCCAATCAGACAGGTGTATTGTGCACCATGAAAAAAGTTATTAAAAAATTGTGACTGCTCAACTAAAGAAATCTCGGTCGACTAACAGCCTATCAACCAAACAATCGACCAGTCGACTAAATGGGGTCAGCCCTAGCTGAATTCTATGATGCGATCTTGACAGAAGTCCAGAGGGGTATCCTATGAAGCAAGCTAAATCTACTCAGGCTTTTATAAAGCTAGCCAGCTTTCAACGCCTCAGACACAAGACGTATGTCGCAATTCAACGCCTCAGACACAAGACGTATGTAGCAGGGTCTACAGACAATCACGGATTACAAAGGGAAACCCAGCCACGTCGCGGACACCGACGTCTTGCTCCCAGACAAGCTAAACACCTTCTTCACCCGCTTTGAGGATAACACAGTGCAGCCGACGCAGCCCGCTCCAAAGGACTGTGGGCTCTCGTTCTCCGTGGCCGACGTGAGTAAGACATTTAAGCGTGTTAACCCTCGCAAGGCTGCCGGCCCAGACGGCATCCCTAGCCGCGTCCTCAGAGCATACGCAGACCCGCTGGCTGGAGTGTTTACGGACATATTCAATCTCTCCCTACCCCAGTCTGCTGTCCCCACTTGCTTCAAGATGTCCACCATTGCTCCTGTACCCAAGAAAGCAAAGGTAACTGAACTAAATGACTATCGCCCCGTAGCACTCACTTCTGTCATCATGAAGTCCTTTGAGAGGCTAGTTAAGGATCATATCACCTCTACCTTACCTGACACCATAGGCCCACTTCAATTTGCTTACCACCCCAATAGATCCACAGACGATGCAATCACCATCGCACTGCACACTGCCCTATCCCATCTGGACAAGAGGAATACCTACGTCAGAATGCTGTTAATTGACTATAGCTCAGCCTTCAACACCATAGTACCCTCCAAGCTCATCATTAAGCTCGGGGCCCTGGGTCTGAACCCCGCCCTGTGCAACTGTTGTCCTGGACTTCCTGACAGGCCGCCCTCAGGTGGTGAAGGTAGGAAACAACACCTCCACTTCGCTGATCCTCAACACAGGGGCCCCACAAGGGTGCATGTTCAGCTCCCTCCTGTACTCCCTCTTCACCCATGACTGCGTGGCCATGCATGCCTCCAACTCAATCATCAAGTTTGCAGACGACACAACAGTAGTAGGCCTGATTACCAACAATGACGAGACAGCCTACAGAGAGGAGGTGAGGGTGCCAGGAAAATAACCTCTCACTCAACGTCAACAAAACGATGGAGATGATCGTGGACTTCAGGAAACAGCAGAGGGAGAACGCCCCTATCCACATCGATAGGACCGCAGTGGAGAAGGTGGAAAGCTTCAAGTTCCTCGGCGTACACATCACTGACAATCTGAAATGGTCCACCCACACAGACAGTGTGGTGAAGAAGGCGCAACAGCGTCAGGAGGCTGAAGAAATTCGGCTTGGCCAAAGACCCTAAGAAACTTTTACAGATGCACAATTGAGAGCATCCTGTCGGGCTGTATCACCGCCTGGTACGGCAACTGCACCGCCTGCAACCGCAGGGCTCTCCAGAGGGTGGTGCGGTCTGCACAACGCATCACCGGGGGCACACTGCCTGCCCTCCAGGACACCTACAGCACTCGATGTCACAGGAAGGTCAAAAATATCATCAAGTACATCAACCACCCGAGCCACGGCCTGTTCACCCCTCTATCATCCAGAAGGCGAGGTCAGTACAGGTGCATCAAAGCTGGGACCGAGAGACTGAAAAACAGCTTCTATCTCAAGGCCATCAGACTGTTATATAGCCATCACTAGCTGGCTTCCACCCGGTTACGCAACCCTGTACCTTAAGAGGCTGCTGCCCAATATACATAGACATGGAATCACTGGCCACTTTAATAATGGATCACTAGTCACTTTAATAATGTTCACATACTGCTTTACTCATATGTATATACTGTATTCTATTCTACTGTATTTTAGTCAATGCCACTCCCGACATTGCTCATCCTAATATTTATATATTTCTTAATTCCATTCTTTTACTTTTAGATTTGTGTATTGTTGTGAATTGTTAGATACTACTGCACTGTTGGAGCTAGGAACACAAGCATTTCGCTACACCCGCAATAACATCTGCTAAATATGTGTATGTGACCAATACAATTTGATTTGATTTGTTTTTGGTTAATTGGTCTTTTTAGTTCCTTTGTTGTTTGTGTTTTGTGTTGAAGGTGATGAATAAGTCGGGAAACAGCCCCCTCCTCCTGGCGGCAGCCAACAAGCCAGTGAAGGCCCTGTCAGTGGACCTGAGCTGTATCCCTGAGCTGCTGGACCAGGGGGCTGAACACAGTGAACCATGCCGGGCGCACGGCCCTGCACGAGGCCTGTAGCGGGGGCCACGAGGCCGTAGTGGAGCTCCTCCTAAAGTATGGAGCCGGCATCAACCAGCTGACCACTGCAGGGGAGAACTTCCTGTTTCTGGATCAGAAGCTCAACCTGAGGCACACCTCTCTGCTGGGGAAGCTGCTTACCACGACCTACCACCTGACCAACAGAGGTGGCCACCTGCTCAGGGAGTACTTTGACCAGAGGGACCAGCTACAGCCAGCAGCCTAGGAGCCTCATATGTTCCACATCTACCAGCTCTATGGGAAGAGTCACGGTAGAGGGAGCCTGAAGCAGGTTCTGCTAGACAGGGTGCATGACTTTGTTTAATCACTGTGAAAACGCATGCAATGTCACGTTTATTAAGGAGGGTGATGAAATCCCACCTCGGTTCCCCCGCTTTCCCAATATGGAGGACTTCACCATGCCTCAAGGAGTCTAACTCCTCCTGTCCATGAAGGTGAAAGCTAGGGCATGTTACTTTTACATTTGAACACATATTACCTCGTGTGATCTACCTCATCAGAGAGAGGCAAAACCTCCTTTGTGACCATTTGATGGTGCACTTATTTTTCTTATGAAATAAAAGAATAGTCACTTAAATAATATACACTTGTAAAGAACATACCTTCAGGTCTCTGTGCATGATACCTCTAGAGTGAATGTATTCCACTCCTTCAAGTATTTTATGTAGAATGCTTAGGGTTTGTTTCGTGTCCACAGACCCGTAAGGATCTGTAAAACAAAAGCCAAAACATACTCATTACCAAATTCTGCATAATATAAACTTAATCAAAACATTGATAATGTTGCATGAAGAGCCAAAGCAACAAAGGGGTGCATCTTATTGTGAAAGTTATATATATGCTCACTTTGTGAGGTGTGTTCGGTGGTTCTCTCTGAGATCCAGTCTTTGAGCGAACGTTCACACAGCTGCATCTGAATATACAGCATAAGGTGGAACTGCACCTGAGGTAGCCATTGAATAGTGTCCAGTAAAATCAGAGTTTGACAAAAACATCATCTATACATACAGGGGACATTTGTAGACGTCCAGAGTTGGAAGATTAGAGGATTGTGTTAAAACAACAGGATAAGAGGCCCTACTGAGCTCCATTATATAGGTTACACAGTATAAATACCTCCTTGGCGGGGCATTTCGTGTCCCACTCCTCGCTCCCCACGTCGATGTAGGAGTTGTTGTTCAGCTCCATCCTGTTCCTGGTTCCTGAGGCCTCCTCCGACAGGGCCGAGCCATCCCAGCTGACCGCAGGGCAGCCGTCCGGCGTCAGGCCACGCCGTCCCAGGAACACACAGGGGACAAAGTTCTCTGGGACACGGGTGTGGCGCATGGTTTTAGGACACACCGCCTGCATGCTCTTCTCCTCTTTAGGGGCCAGGACTTTCACCCGGAGGATCTCTGGTGCTTTACCTATGGCCACTGGCTCCTTTGGGTAATCTGAGCTCTCAAAGACTATTGAGGAGCCGTTGCTACTGCCGGTACTCTCCTCAGTGCTGTGAGAGTGGAAAAATACATGTTTCAGAATCGAATATGATACTGAATCATGTAATTCAGTTATACGATATAATAATCGTACCGTTCTGGCAGCGCAGGTGTTTCCAGTGCTGAGAGTATTGATGCAGGGTCTGAAATTGAGAAATTGTACCAAATGTGAAATGATGTGAAAAAACAACAACAATGAAGAGAGGTTAGCTATGAATAAATTAAATCATTTGAATGTAGAACATGTCAGAGGAGAGAAGTAACGGAGGTCACTGGTAAAAGCAGGTGCGACATGCTCCATCCAGGCAGTGTGGTAGCCCACTACATTGACGTGCTGAAGACTGGATAACACTTTCACCTCTCTGAGAACCTGAAACAAAGACAGGAAAATACTCAATGACTGAAACTCACTTGTGTCCATTATCGAATACTGCACTGAAGTATACTGCATTTTTGGATCATTAAAACTCAATACATTTTAAATGAATTGTGGAAAAATAGCATACCTTCATGCAGTCTTCCCGTGAAACATTCTTGATGAGAATTTTCTTCACAGCATACTTCTGCCCATCCAGCTTGTTTGTTACCTAGAAAGCAAATGATAAAAACAAAGAGGGGGAATTTACTCCACTGTAGGTTTTATTAATGCATTGGTATCATTTTTATTTTGACTGGACAGTTCAGTACCTTGAAGACTTTGCCATAGGATCCTTTTCCAAGTCTAGAGAGCTCTTCAAACTCGCTGAGGTAGCGAGACGTCTGTGCCTGGAACAGACCTTCTGTTGGTCTACGGTGAGAGGAGGACAATTAGCAAAGAGACAGATCCTCAAGATCCTCGAGATCCTCTCACAACGCAACGTACACAGATCCTCTCACAACGCAACGTACACAAATCCTCTTATAACGTAACGTACACATATCCTCTCACAACACAATGTACACAGATCCTCTCACAACGCAACGTACACAGATCCTCTCACAACGCAACGTACACAGATCCTCTCACAACGCAACGTACACAGATCCTCTCACAATGCAACGTACACAGATCCTCTCACAACGCAACGTACACAGATCCTCTCACAACACAACGTACACAGATCCTCTCACAACGCAACGTACACAGATCCTCTCACAACGCAACGTACACAGATCCTCTCACAACGCAACGTACACAGATCCTCTCACAACACAACGTACACAGATCCTCTCACAACGCAACGTACACAGATCCTCTCACAACACAACGTACACAGATCCACTCACAACGCAACGTACACAGCAGTACATTTAATTTATTTTTACATTTTAGTCATTTAGCATACGCTCTTATCCAAAGCAACTTACAATTAGTGCATTCATCTTAAGATAGCTACAGTGAGGGAAAAAAGTATTTGATCCCCTGCTGATTTTGTACGTTTGCCCACTGACAAAGAAATGATCAGTCTATAATTTTAATGGTAGGTTTATTTGAACAGTGAGAGACAGAATAACAACAACAAAATCCAGAAAAACGCATGTCAAAAATGTTAAAAATTGATTTGCATTTTAATGAAGGAAATAAGTATTTGACCCCCTCTCAATCAGAAAGATTTCTGGCTCCCAGGTGTCTTTTATACAGGTAACGAGCTGAGATTAGGAGCACACTCTTAAAGGGAGTGCTCCTAATCTCAGTTTGTTACCTATATAAAAGACACCTGTCCACAGAAGCAATTAATCAATCAGATTCCAAACTCTCCACCATGGCCAAGACCAAAGAGCTCTCCAACGATGTCAGAGACAAGATTGTAGACCTACACAAGGCTGGAATGGGCTACAAGACCATCGCCAAGCAGCTTGGTGAGAAGGTGACAACAGTTGGTGCGATTATTCGCAAATGGAAGAAACATAAAATAACTGTCAATCTCCCTTGGCCTAGGGCTCCATGCAAGATCTCACCTCGTGGAGTTGCAATGATCATGAGAATGGTGAGGAATCAGCCCAGAACTACACGGGAGGATCTTGTCAATGATCTCAAGGCAGCTGGGACCATAGTCAAGAAGAAAAAAACAATTGGTAACACACTACGCCGTGAAGGACTGAAATCCTGCAGCGCCCGCAAGGTCCCCCTGCTCAAGAAAGCACATATACAGGCCCGTCTGAAGTTTGCCAATGAACATCTGAATGATTCAGAGAAGAACTGGGTGAAAGTGTTGTGGTCAGATGAGACCAAAATCAAGCTCTTTGGCATCAACTCAACTCGCCGTGTTTGGAGGAGGAGGAATGCTGCCTATGACCCCAAGAACACCATCCCCACCGTCAAACATGGAGGTGGAAACATTATGCTTTGGGGGTGTTTTTCTGCTAAGGGGACAGGACAACTTCACCGCATCAAAGGGACGATGGACGGGGCCATGTACCGTCAAATCTTGGGTGAGAACCTCCTTCCCTCAGCCAGGGCATTGAAAATGGGTCGTGGATGGGTATTCCAGCATGACAATGACCCAAAACACACGGCCAAGACAACAAAGGAGTGGCTCAAGAAGAAGCACATTAAGGTCCTGGAGTGGCCTAGCCACTCTCCAGACCTTAATCCCATAGAAAATCTGTGGAGGGAGCTGAATGTTCGAGTTGCCAAACGTCAGCCTCGAAACCTTAATGACTTGGAGAAGATCTGCAAAGAGGAGTGGGACAAAATTCCTCCTGAGATGTGTGCAAACCTGGTGGCTAACTACAAGAAATGTCTGACCTGCCAACAAGGGTTTTGCCACCAAGTACTAAGTCATGTTTTGCAAATACTTATTTCCCTAATTAAAATGCTAATCAATTTATAACATTTTTGACATGCGTTTTTCTGGATTTTTTTGTTGTTATTCTGTCTCTCACTGTTCAAATAAACCTACCATTAAAATTATAGACTGATCATGTCTTTGTCAGTGGGCAAACATACAAAATCAGCAGGGGATCAAATACTTTTTTCCCTCACTGTAGGTGAGACAACAACACATCACAATCGTATCAAGTACATTTTCCCTCAACAAAGTATTTGTCAGCAAAGTCAGTGCTAGTAACAAAAGACAATGTTACCTTTGCGTAAGGCTCTGGGTGTCTGTATTTAATAATATTTTACCCTGAAATGGCAGGAAGAAAACTGGTCAGTGAGCAAACATCAGTGATAAACAAGAAACTTGACCATGCATGTCCCGCATTACATTATCACTAAATGGACACATCAAGTGTTACCTGTGGGAACGGGAACAGGGAGGTGCTGGCAGCACGCAGTAGTTCAGTGAAGGCTCTGTTGTGTTGGAGTCTGACCGTGCTGAACTCATCACTGATGGCCAATGGGGAGAGGAGGTTCATCGCTGCTAAACGCTGACCAATGACTGGAGAGGATGGCAAAGACCAGGAAATAATTCACTGTAGTGTTCTCTTTTTTCTTCTAATGAATCTTCACGCAAAAAATAATCTTTACAGAAGTCAGTGATGCAAAAGTGTTGCAAAAACACAGAAAACCCCCCGGAGTTTACCAAGTTACTTTGTTTAAAATAATCATATCCTAACCTCCCTCTACACAACAACCAGAGAATGTTCATGTTCTACTGACAGAGAGAGAGTTTAGTCGATCCTCTTTACCTTTGAAGAGCATATGTGAGCGGGTCGGGTCGCTCTCGTAGACAAAGCACAGGTGTTCCAGCAGAGACCCCAGCAGAAGGTGGTTGGGGATGGCTGAGGCGAACTCCTGGATGGACAGGTACTGCTTGCCAGCCATCAGAACCTCACAGTTGTTATCCGAGTCTGACGCTGTGTTTACATAGAGGAGAATGAGAGACAGGACAGAGGAGCGAGTGGTAAGTGTTTGTAACAAGATTATAGATTATGTAATAGATGGATAAAAGCAAAGTTGTGTGTCTCAATGGTGAACAGTCCCCTCCAAAACGTCCTGTAGCCAGATGATGGCCAACATCACATAACAAATAATCACCAACCTATTTTTGTGATTACTTCAATACCCCTTTATAAAGAAAATAAGCTTTGTAGTTAACAGATGAAATAGAAAATGTATCTTACCTTCGGCAATAACTTTGGCAATTAACGCTGCAATTTCTTTCTCCCCTAGGTCCATTTTGTCTACCAGTATGTGTGATATTGGCTCAATATGAAAAAATTCCAACACTAATGCTAAATTAACCTAACCACTTCAAAGTCAGCCAGCCCATCTTGTTTATGCATGCTGGGGTGTGCTCAGTGGTAAGGCTTATCTGTCTACAACAGTACACACTGGCCCCTCCACCCCAGGTCAGTAGCAAAATATAAGGAGAGAGGGAGTGTGAGAAACATGACAAAACTGTATGTAATGTACTCTTATATTTGTGTATGCTGATTGTTGGTTTATTCTGTACTCATTGGATTTGGCAACAGTTTATGATGTTGAATTGACTGTCTGCCATCAGTATATAGTACTGTACTGTAATGGGAAGCATGTCCACTGGTTGCATCACTAGAGGGTTATGACTGGGAAGAAGGTTATCTTTTTGGGGCAGCAGAAATGGTAATGCAGCCAACCAACCAATAGGAGTAAAGGAAAGACATGGCTATAAACGACATTCTAGAAAAATATCTCACTTAGCTGATTGGTCATAGCTAAATTAGTTATTTGTCAAAATGTGAGGAGGGATGTAGCCACAGTTGTGATCGATCTATCTATCTATCTATCTATCTATCTATCTATCTATCTATCTATCTATCTATCTATCTATCTATCTATCTAATCTAATCTAATCTAATCTAATCTATCTAATCTATCTATCTGCCCCATGGTACTGATGATGAGGGTGTGGATCGAAAGCAGCCCCCAAAACTGAGTTTGGGTAGGTTCAGTGGGTAGGTTGAGAGGTTTGCTGACAGCAGGATGACTCCGCCGACAGCCCCACACATGACTTCTCAATTCTGCCTAGCAAGTTAGCGTGGCCATATTTGAACAATGTCAGGTGTCTGTCAACTTACTGTCAAATTTAACCTCATCGTCATCTTCACTGGTGGTCAAATTAAACACACTGCGCTCATGTCTGGTCGTGTTGGTTGTGGTGGTGGTTAGATTTCGGCGAATCAAGAAGTTGCTCATGCAGCTGCTACTTGAACTTTCCTCTCTGAGCCCGTACGGAGAGCTAAACATAGCGACGGCAGCGATTTAGGAAGTTTAAGCTTGTTAACCTATTAAATGTGAAATAACAACTTTAAGAATACTTAGGCTTTAATATTTTCAATTTCGCATGAATGATAACGAGTTAAGGTAGACGTTATTCTAACATAATAATGTCAAAAGCTCGCCAGAAGAGTCCCATACGGTCTAGTGTCAGCCATTTCGAACGACACACATAAAGGGAGTGAAGTCTTGTCTTAAAACACCATGAGCTGAACATAAATGCAGTTGAATAATTTCACGTCCACTGTGAGGAGAACTTATAAATTAAGTCTGACTTCATTTGTTATATATTGATGAGATTGTATCCCGTTTATATAGTAACCCTATCCATTTATGCAATACGTTTAATTCGGTCTTGTTCGTTTTATTATTTTGTGCGATAAGTCAGACAGTCCCTGCAGCATCTCATCTCATTTTGTTCCTTATCCTGTGATACTGGCAAAGGATGATGAAATGCTACAAATATTTATTGGTGACATACAATTACAACCTTTATATATATATATATATATATATATATATATATATATATATATATATATATTTAGCTACAAATATGTATTGGTGACATACAATTACAACCTTGATATATATATATTTTTTTTTAGCTACAAATATTTATTGGTGACATACAATTACAACCTTGATATATATAAAAATGTTTTTACATAAGGTGAACCAGAACTAATACAATATAGACTAAATATATGACTCTGGGGTGAACCATTGAAAAAGTCAGTACTTTTTCATTTGAGCCCATCTCTAAAATGGGTATTCTTTCTGATTATGGTGTTAATAAAAATACTTTTTTAAATGTTATTGTCTTGTATATATATACAATTTTAATAATGTATCGTTATCGTAGCCCATCACTGACTGACACAGGCTTTCCTTTTCAGAGGTCAGTGGTAGGCTTGCGCTTCCCTACGCAGAATCACTCGTGACTAATCAAAACAAGCGCGGCCGGAGAGACGCATGCGTCAACATGAGGAGGAGGACAACTTTTAACTCTAAAAGCACGGTTTAATCCACTTTTTGCATTAACTGAATTCGGTCAACTTCTTGTTTGCTGACAAAATGTATGACAGCTAGCTATATGGTTTGTCACCCGCTAGCCACATTGTACCTGAAATTAGATTTGGTGAAATGGTGCTACCAGATTAAACAGAATCCACAAACAGAAAGAATATAGCCGACAAACATTATACAGACAGTGCATCAATTTGGGTGTGTTCTTCAAAAAATCGAGTTGACGGATGCATCCTTTCAAAATAATGTCAATACACTACTTTTACTGGTTGGATTCTACTAGTTGGATTTTCTTCAGAACTGGTGTAAGGAATGCATAAAGTATGCGGCTCTCTCTTTGTATGTGTGCAGGAATACACCAAGATGATTCACGTGCTCCAGTCCTACTGCATCATCTCTACAGGGGTTCGTATCACCTGCACCAACCAGACAGAACAGGGCAAACGCACCCCGATCCTCTGCACCAGCGCCACGACAGTTATTTTACATCAACAACCCTCCGTGTGATCCTTCTAAGGTTTCCAAGCTTGTGAATGAAGTGTATCACACGTTTAATAGACATCCATTTGATGCATTGAACATCACTGTTGCCTCAGAGTGTGTGGATGTGAACGTCACTACAGACAGGAGTCAAATCTTTCTCCAGGAAGAGAAGCTTCTGCTAGCCATCATGAAGAGCTCTCTCATCGCCATGTACGAGACTGGAGTCAACAAGATCAGCCTCAACCATACATCCTTCCCCATGACCAGTAAGTAAACACACTTTTTGGCTGCTTGTTCTCATGCCAACAGTTATTCATTTATTTATTTATCCTTCATTTATACAGGTGAATATACATGTGTTTCAAGGGACACCTGCTTCAATCCGAAGGTTTGCTGTCATCCTGCTGTGTTTCATCGGTTTTAATTAATGTTGAGTTTGACCTTTTCTCTATGTTCCTACAGACCAGCGGAGCCTCCGTCTGAAATGGAAGGTTGTCAGGTGGTTCCATCATCTGAGATGACGGCTCCCAAAGCTGGATATTATTTTGAACCTGTGATTCCAAGTCCCAGATCATCTCTCAATCTGGCTGGCTTAAAAACTGCTATGTCCATGCACAACAGCCAGGCACTGGGGCTAAGTCGAACACTACAAAAGTTGCTAACACTGGTCCAACCCAGAATAAGCTGCAGTCTTTCTTTGGAGGCTCTGAGAAGAGTCAGAACACACACAGGCCAAGTTTACAATCAGTTTGGAAATCCAGTCAAGGTGCAGTGAAATGTTCCCCTATGGAGAAGTCTGTGCTAGACAGCGACAGACTCTGGCAGAAAGAGTGTCCCGTGGGAGCCCAGCAACCCCAGATAGCCTCTGTGCTACTACAGGGTCAGAGTTCAACTTGCCAGACATCACAGTTGACAGCGAACCCAGTATAAAAAGTGAGGCGCTCAATGAACCTTTGGACAAGGAACTCACAGTTTGGCACTTCGACCGGCAGATTGAACCACATATATCAGAGACGTCTAAGGAGATGAGCCTCAGTCCCAAGGTCAAGAAGGTTTACCTAGAGTATGGTGGTTTCTCAGAGAACAAGACCACACATTCAGCTGGGTCTGAGGGATCCTCTGGGTCTAAGGTGGACACCCCAGTCTGTGTACAGAAGAGAGCAGTGCCACTGCAGTTCTCTGTACAAGAGCTGAGTGGGAGGGTGAGGAGGCTGCAGGGACAGGACAGCGTAGAGAGAAGGCTGAAGACGGGCTGTGCTACAGACTCTTCAGAGCCAAGATTAGCCCTGGAGAGAACCAGAGTGCTAAGGAGGAGCTGAAGAAAGAGATAAGGTGGGAATTTAACTGCTGTTTTTGTTGGTTAATTGTAAGGACAAGATTTTTTCCTGAACACTATATCTGACCAGGAAAAACTATCTTCATAAAAGAAAGTGGCACAATTTAATGTATTTTTTATTCAATTTCTGAACCAACATTTAGGTAAACATTGCCTTTTTCAGGGTTGAAATAGCAATGTGATTATTATCAAGTTATTATACAGCAGTCTGTTGAAATGTTCCCTCTGTAATCCCCACAGCAAAGACAGTTTTAAGGACATGGAGATTTTGGACATGGAGACAGTTTAACCTGGACTTCATCATAACTAAGCTGAACTTTGACCTCTTCATGATCGACCAGCACACCACTGACGAGAAGTAGAACTTTGAGATGCTTCAACAACACACCGCAATGCAAGGACAGAGACTCATCGTGTAAGGCAGGGGTGTCAAACGTACGGCCCGCGGGCCGGATCAGGCCCGCAAATGGGTTTAATCCGGCCCGCGAGATGATTAAAAAAAATAAAAAAAAAATAAAAAATTTAAAGTATAAAAATGCGCTGCAATTTTTCAATAAAATAAACTGCTGTTCCAATTGCGTCCACTGGATGGCGCAATAGCAATTGTGTTAAGCAAGCAAACTGTTTATACCGGGGCAGAGCAAGTACAGTGGGGAAAAAAAGTATTTAGTCAGCCACCAATTGTGCAAGTTCTCCCACTTAAAAAGATGAGAGAGGCCTGTAATTTTCATCATAGGTACACGTCTACTATGACAGACAAATTGAGGAAAAAAAATCCAGAAAATCCCATTGTAGGATTTTTAATGAATTTATTTGCAAATTATGGTGGAAAATAAGTATTTGGTCACCTACAAACAAGCAAGATTTCTGGCTCTCACAGACCTGTAACTTCTTCTTTCAGAGGCTCCTCTGTCCTCCACTCGTTACCTGTATTAATGGCACCTGTTTGAACTTGTTATCAGAATAAAATACACCTGTCCACAACCTCAAACAGTCACACTCCAAACTTCACAATGGCCAAGACCAAAGAGCTGTCAAAGGACACCAAAAACAAAATTGTAGACCTGCACCAGGCTGGGAAGACTGAATCTGCAATAGGTAAGCAGCTTGGTTTGAAGAAATCAACTGTGGGAGCAATTATTAGGAAATGGAAGACATACAAGACCACTGATAATCTCCCTCGATCTGGGGCTCCACGCAAGATCTCACCCCGTGGGGTCAAAATGATCACAAGAACGGTGAGCAAAAATCCCAGAACCACACGGGGGGACCTAGTGAATGACCTGCAGAGAGCTGGGACCAAAGTAACAAAGCCAACCATCAGTAACACACTACGCCGCCAGGGACTCAAATCCTGCAGTGCGAGACGTGTCCCCCTGCTTAAGCCAGTACATGTCCAGGCCCGTCTGAAGTGCATTTGGATGATCCAGAAGAGGATTGGGAGAATGTCATATGGTCAGATGAAACCAAAATATAACTTTTTGGTAAAAATTCAACTCGTCATGTTTGGAGGACAAAGAATGCTGAGTTGCATCCAAAGAACACCATACCTACTGTGAAGCATGGGGGTGGAAACATCATGCTTTGGGGCTGTTTTTCTGCAAAGGGACCAGGACGACTGATCCGTGTAAAGGAAAGAATGAATGGGGCCATGTATCGTGAGATTTTGAGTGAAACCCTCCTTCCATCAGCAAGGGCATTGAAGATGAAACGTGGCTGGGTCTTTCAGCATGACAATGATCCCAAACACACCGCCCGGGCAACGAAGGAATGGCTTCGTAAGAAGCATTTCAAGGTCCTGGAGTGGCCTAGCCAGTCTCCAGATCTCAACCCCATAGAAAATCTTTGGAGGGAGTTGAAAGTCTGTGTTGCCCAGCGACAGCCCCAAAACATCACTGCTCTAGAGGAGATCTGCATGGAGGAATGGGACAAAATACCAGCAACAGTGTGTGAAAACCTTGTGAAGACTTACAGAAAACGTTTGACCTGTGTCATTGCCAACAAAGGGTATATAACAAAGTATTGAGAAACTTTTGTTATTGACCAAATACTTATTTTCCACCATCATATGCCAATAAATTCATAAAAAATCCTACAATGTGATTTTCTGGATTTTTTTTCCTCATTTTGTCTGTCATAGTTGACGTGTACCTATGATGAAAATTACAGGCCTCTCTCATCTTTTTAAGTGGGAGAACTTGCACAATTGGTGGCTGACTAAATACTTTTTTTCCCCACTGTAGGTCAAGCACGTGCAGCCAATGAGCTACTTTGTTTTGCCCGCGATATTTATTACGGCTTCTACTTTTAACATTATGTGCTTTGGCACCCTCATTGCCCCAATATGTCTCTGTCAAAAAAGAGAAAAGTGGACGCAGAGTGCAGAGTGTTCCAAGAACAATGGTCATCCTATTTAATCACGGAATTGAATGGGAAAGCTGTATGTTTGGTGTGTTCAGAGCATGTTGCAGTGCTGAAAGAATATAACCTTCGTCGCCACTATGTGAGTCTTCATGCCGACAAATATGACAACTTTCAAGGACAGCGGAGAAGAGAGAAGGTGAATGAACTGTTGGCGGGTCTGAAGAAACAGCAGTCTGTGTTTACTCACAGCCGAGACATCAGTGACGCTGCAGTGAAAGCTAGCTACCTCATTGCTAATGAAATCGCAGTGGCTTCAAAACCATTTAGTGAGGGTGAATTTGTAAAAACATGCATGATGAAGGCAGCGGAGATTGTGTGCCCTGAAAAGCGGCAGGCTTTTGCAAATATCAGCCTGACAAGAAACACAGTTGCAGACAGGATTTCCGAAATTTCAGTGGATTTGGACAGCCAGTTGAAGCAAAAAGTAAAGTCATTTATTGCGTTTTCGGTTGCAATTGATGAAAGCACGGACATTACAGATGTTGCACAACTGGCCATTTTTTCATCCGCGGAGTTGATGACACATTGACCGTCACCGAGGAGTTCGTGGAGTTGGTGCCGATGACAGATACAACGACAGCAGCTGATATTTTTACCGCACTCGTCGGCGCGCTGGACAGGGTCGGAGTGGACTGGTCCCGCGCTGTCAGCCTGGCTACAGATGGTGCGCCCTCAATGATCGGGAAAAAAGCAGGCGTTGTGACAAAGTTCAGAGAGAAAGTGCAATCTGCAAATGGAGGACGTGATTTTTTGACTTTTCACTGTATTTTGCACCAGGAGGCTTTGTGTTGCAAGTCATTAAAGATGGATAACGTCATGAAGGTGGTCATCCAAACTGTTAATTTCATCCGATCCAGAAGCCTGAATCACCGTCAGTTTGACAGCCTTCTCAGAGAGAAAGACCACATCTATGGCCTGCCATACTACACTGAGGTAAGATGGTTAAGCCGAGGTGCTGTGCTGAGGCGTTTCTTTGATTTACGAGAAGAAATTGAACAGTTCATGGAAGAAAAGGGCAAACCAGTGTTAGAATTTCATTCCGCAGAATGGATGCCGGACCTTGCATTTATGGTGGATGTTACAGAGCACCTGAATAACTTGAACAAACAGCTGCAAGGGCGCAACAAAGTTGTCACGCAGTATTATGACAGCATACGTTCTTTCAAGTTGAAGCTGTCATTGTGGGAGACGCAACTTGCCGGTGGTGATGCAGCTCACTTCCCCTGTCTGAAAAATGTGTGCGCGACCCAACATGTGGCAGACATGAAGCGGTTCAAAGATAAAATAACTGGACTGTTACGGGAGTTTGAGCAACGCTTTCAGAATTATGTTTATATGTTTTTATGTTGATGTGCTATTGTTTTTAATTGATTTTATTTTATTTGTATATTTAACCTATTCTTGACTCTGTGGTTCTTGCACTTGTTTGGGGAACAGGATTTCATTATTTTTATCTACATTTCTGCCTGAGAAATGACACCCTGATATAGTTCTGTGATCTGTGAAACAGTTCTGTTAATCACTGAGGCATTGTGTGTTTGTGTGTTCTTTTTCTTTAGAATTTTCAAATAAACTTGACGTGTTTTATGATTAATAGTGATGTTGTGCTTGTACTATTTTGGACACACTGTCCTCAGGCTCCAGCTTTATGTTGTATGTTGATCGTATTAAAACAAAGAAAACAATCTGAAGTTGTTGTTTTTATGTTATATATACCATGATTTTTCCGGTCCGGCCCACTTGGGAATAGATTTTCCTCCATGTGGCCCCTGAGCTAAAATGAGTTTGACACCCCTGGTGTAAGGATTCACTGACATTTGCAAATTATTTTATATGGTTACTAAAAACGCACTAGTTTTGTGTTAAGATTTAATTTTTTATGTATGACGTTTTCAGTCCACAGAATCTCCACCTCATGGCAGTCAGCGAGAACGTTCTTATGGAGAACCTTGAGATCTTTGATTTTCTCATAGATGAGGATGGTAAGTCAAATAGAATACAACACGCTCACTCACTGCTATATTTAGTGGGGTCAAATATACCCTGCCATAAGAAATTAGGATAGCACTGTCCAAAAAGTATATTTCAAAATAGCATGCATGGGTATTGCTGTTTTCTGATTCTGAATTCCATTGTGCTATGTGTTCCAGCTCAGGTGATGGAGCGGGTGAAGCTTGTGTCCCTGCCCACCAGTAAGAACTGGATGTTTGGTCCGGGGGACCTCGAGGAGCTCATCTTCATGTTGAGTGATAGCCCGGTGGTCATTTGTCGGCCGTCTCATGTCAGGCAGATGTTTGCCTCCAGGGCCTGCAGGAAGTCGGTGAGTGTTATGTATTTATGATGTGATTGATTTGTTGTCCATGACTTGTGATAAATATGAGATGTAGGATTTCAGCACTAAATAAGAAGTGCTAGTAGAAAGGCACCAGTTATAATGTGTGTTATGCAGTGATTGAAAGTGTACATGTTAGTTTGGTGCTTTTGCACTAGTTTTCCAGCTACACAAAAATGATATGTTTCCTTTAGAATTGTCATTTTAGCTCTGGTCCAATGATGTTATGTACTCTGTCTCCCGCGTAAGGTGATGATCGGTACAGCTTTGAGCACCAGTGAGATTAAGAAGCTGGTGGTTCATATGGGGGAGATAGAGCAGCCATGGAACTGTCCACATGGCAGACCAACTATGAGACACCTTGCTAACTTGAACTTCATCTCACAAGACTGAAGTTTACATTGGTTTCTCAACCCAGCTGGACCGGCTCAGTAAGATACACTGAATACTTCTCAACAGTGTTGGCCTGCTCCTATATCTCTTAATAAACACTAAGGTTGCATTTCAGCAACAACAACAAAATACCAAATCTCATTATGTAAAATAAATCACTGTTAGATCATCTTTTATTGTCAAATGTTGACTGAAAAAAATGTGTTTTATATTTCTAAACATTTATTTTCTGTCTACTATTTTAGGTACGCTTTCAATAAAATAATCAAAACACAAATGCTCTCACATTATCATTTCAGTACATTAACCTAATTTAATTAGAACAATACATTTTTGTGAGTTTGTAAAGACGGCTTTTTGACATACTGAGGATTCCGTACCGAACTCCTTAGCAACAGGCGCCTTGGTTGCTATGCATGGTATGTTTATGGAATTGCATCGTCTGGATGAACAGGTGAAATGGCAAAAGGGGATAAAAATAAAAAACCTGAGAAAACGACTCCCGAACAGTCATTAAGTAAACTTTTGGCAAATGGCTCCCATGCTGGTGTTGTATCAGAACCACACGTTGTAGATGAAGAGTCGGGACATGACACAGATGGAATGACTGCCTCATTTTCGTCACAACCACCACTCACCGACAAACAACTTGAGAGAAGTGATGATGCATTTCATGAGGTCCCTGTTCTTTCTAATATTATTGTCCAGAGGTAAACCATTGCTTATCACTCGCCTCTTTCTATGAAGATGAAATAATTGTTGTTGGGTTTCTTTTCCATAATAACCTAAGCATACATAGCTAAGCCTGCTAACGTTAGCTAGCTAGCTACTGTTACATGATCAATGAAAAGCAATCTGTGCTCACTCAGGTACGAAGGAGAAAGGTATCTAGAGCAGTTCCATGGTGAAGGTGTGGCATATTTTCAGGGAGGACATGTCTACAAGGTATTGCATTATGCCATTGTCATGTTGTCTATATAACATCGTATAACATGCATTACATGATGCCTAAAATGAACCAGCAAACATGACATCAATAAGCTTTGTTTTTCTTCAAGGGTATGTTTTCAGTAGGAGTCATGCATGGACGTGGTCTGTACACATGGGCAGATGGCGTGAAATATGAGGTATTTTGGTCCACCACCTTTAGAAGATGCATTATTTCTTAGTTAATCTTATACTGCAGATGTGACCTGTGAACCATTTGATTCTCATAATTTGACAGGGTGAGTTTGCATTCAATGTGCCCATGGGCCATGGGACATACACCTGGGTGGACGGTAGCTGTTATGAGGGAGAGGTGTGCAGTGGAATCCGCCATGGTGTGGGGACATACAGGTGTGCCAATGCCTCAGTGATATACAGAGGGCAGTGGCATCACAGCAAAAGGCATGGAAAGGTATGATCCTGTTGCAGTCTTGAGCCATTTAAGTCAGATAAACCTGCACCTCTTCCACAGGTTTATTTAATGTGGGGTTGTTGCTTAATTTACAGTATTTGTTTGTTTTATTAGGGTACAATATACTATAACCAGGAAGTGACATCCTGGTATGAAGGAGAATGGGTGAACAATAACAGAGAGGGATGGGGAGTCCGATGGTAGGTGAACTTGTGTTTAGACAGTGTGTTACACATGTGAATGATCTCCCATCAAATGTGTTCTAATGCTTAAATTATATCAGTGTCATACACCTTGCATGTGTTCTCTCTGCTGTGCCAAAGTTACCCCTCTGGGAATCTGTATGAGGGCCAGTGGAGGAACAACATGAGACATGGAGAGGGCAGTATGAGGTGGCGGCAGCTGGGTCAGCAGTACAGAGGGAGATGGGAGAATGGGGTCCAGGTAGGTCAAACCATATCACCCTCATCTCCCATGACATGATAGATTAATAAACCCATTATTTGGCTTTGAGAAAGAAAACATGTTTGGAGTAACTTCACATAGATGACTGATGAATCCTCCTCTGTCTCAGCATGGACAGGGGACCCACACATGGTTCCTGAGGAGAGTGACAGGCTCTCAGTACCGCCTGAGGAATGAGTACAGTGGGGACTTTGTCCAGGGGCTGAGGCATGGCCTGGGCAGCTTCTACTACGCCAGCGGGGCTCATTATAAAGGAGAGTGGAAGGAAAACAAAAAACATGGACAGGTGAAGTGGAAAACATGTCCATAGAGTAATCATTCTAATTGAATAGATGTCAATGTGGAGTTTAAATAATAAGATATTGTTAAACATTCTAGGGAAAGTTCATTTTTAAAAATGGGCGCATATTTGAAGGGGAGTTTGTGGATGACCACATGGCAGAGTTCCCAGCGTTCTGCCTGGATGGTTCAAACACCCCTGATCTGAGTGGGATTAGAACGCACACTCCTCGTCCTGAGGACGGTAAGCACACCAAGTCCCTCTGAAAATGTACACTACCAGTCAAAAGTTTGGACACACCTACTCATTCACGGGTTGATGTGGATTTTTTAGTGGACTATGAGATAAAACGTTAATCACGAACATGTAGTTAGAATTCTCTGTTGCTAGGCAAGAACTTAATTGGTTCATTTCACTGTGTGTGTGAAGTGGGGATCTAACCTAGGGTACCTTACCTAATCCATGGCTGTCCTACCTCATCAGAGACTGAAACCAGACTGTGGCCTTTTGCCTCTCTCCTCAAACAAAGTGGAAAGAGCAGCGCCAGAGTTGAACAGAGTTTAGACTAATCATGAGTAATTACAGCATGACAGGAGGGAAGAGAGGAGTGGGTTTTGAAAGATTAAGTATGGACCTGTCATGTCCAACAATCAATCTTCAGGTCAAGCCAGGGTGAGCCGGGGTTGAACAGAGTTTAAAACTGAACATTATTGTTTTTTCATGACAAGGGCATGATTGATTGATTGTAATAATAGTTTCTAAACTGAATGACAGTCAAATTTAGCCGCTATCATAGACTAAGGAAGTGGGCGGAGCGGTAGAGAGAGGGAAACTGAAGATAATGGTAGGGGAACCCAAGAGGGAGGGGCTTTGAGCTAGGAGGTATGTGAATGTGACTATATAGACGGGGAGCGGAGAGAGAGGGGAGGTGCTGTGCAGATTATCTCGGTTTACGTTACTTTGTGAAATAAAGTCTATCTTGATTCTACAAAAACTCAGGAAGAATTTTTATTTTTAATAAAGTATAGTGATAATTTTCCACACCAGGGTTTTTCTTTATTTGTACTATTTCTTACATTGTAGAATAATAGTGAAGACATCAAAACAATTCATAACACATATGGAATCATGTAGTAACCAAAAAAGTGTTAAACAAATCAAAATATATTTTATATTTGAGATTCTTCAAATAGCCACCCTTTGCCTTGATGACAGCTTTGCACACTCTTGGCATTCTCTCAACCAGCTTCATGAGATAGTCACCTGGAATGCATTTCAATTAACAGGTGTGCCTTATTAAAAGTTAATTTGAGCCAATCAATTGTGTTGTGAGGGGAGTATACAGAAGATAGCCCTATTTGGTAAAAGACTAAGTCCATATTATGGCAAGAACAGCTGAAATAAGCAAAGAGAAACAACAGTCCATTATTACTTTAAAACATGAAGGTCAGTCAATACGGCAAATTTCAAGAACTTTGAAAGTTTCTTCAAGTGCAGTCGCAAAAACCATCAAGCGCTATGATGAAACTGGCTCTCATGAGGACCGCCACAGGAAAGGAAGACCCAGAGTTACCTCTGCTGCAGAGAATAAGTTCATTAGAGTTACCAGCCTCAGAAACTGCAGCCCAAATAAATGCTTCACAGAGTTCAAGTAACAGACACATGTCAACATCAACTGTTCAGAGGAGACTGTGTGAATCAGGCCTTCATGGTCGAATTGCTGCAAAGAAACCACTACTAAAGGACACCAATAAGAAGAAGAAACTTGCTTGGGCCAAGAAACACGAGCAATGGACATTAGACCGGTGGATATTTGTCCTTTGGTCTGGAGTCCAAATTGGAGATTTTTGGTTCCAGCCGCTGTGGCTTTGTGAGACATGGTGTGGATGAACGGATGATCTCTGCATGTGTATTTCCCACCGTAAAGCATGGAGGAGGAGGTGTTATGGTGTGGGGGTACTTTGCTGGCACACTTAACCAGCATGGCTACCACAGCATTCTGCAGTGATACGCCATCCCATCTGGTATGGGCTTAGTGGGATCATCATTTGTTTTTCAACAGGACAATGACCCAACACACCTCCAGGCTGTGTAAGGGCTATTTTACCAAGAAGGAGAGTGATGGAGTGCTGCATCAGAGGACCTGGCCTCCACAATCTCCCGACCTCAACCCAATTGAGATGGTTTGGGACGAGTCGGACCGCAGAGTGAAGGAAAAGCAGCCAACAAGTGCTCAGAAAATGTGGGAACTCCTTCAAGACTGTTGGAAAAGCATTCCAGGTGAGGCTGGTTGAAAGAATGCCAAGAATGTGCAAAGCTGTCGTCAAGGGAAAGGGTGGCTATTTGAAGAATCTCAAATATAAAATATATTTTGATTTGTTTAACACTTTTTTGGTTACTACATGATTCCATATGTGTTATTTCATAGTTTTGATGTCTCCACTATTATTCTAATGTAGAAAATAGTAAAAATCTAGAAAAACCCTTGAATGAGTAGGTGTGTCCAAACTTTTGACTGATACTGTATGTCTGTCTGAACAAATGAGTCATCTGACATCAACCCCCTGGAATGGTCCCATATTTTTCATGTGGCTTGCGAAAGTATTCACCCCCCTTGGAATTTTTCCTATTTTGTTGCCTTACAACCTGGAATTAAAATGGGGTTTGTATAATTTGATTTACACAGCATGCCTACCACTTTGAAGATGCAAAATATATTTTTTTGTGAAACAAACAAGAAATAAGACAAAAAAAACAGAACTTGAGCATGCATAACTATTCACCCCCCCTAAAGTCAATACTTTGTAGAGCCACCTTTTGCAGCAATTACAGCTGCAAGTCTCTTGGGGTATGTCT